TGAATATTGACAAGAAAAATCTGTTTCCCTTGCTCAGTGCATACCCATCCACCTGGCATTCACCACGCAGATGAGAGCACCTGCTTATTTAAAAATTCCTCAATACATGAACAGCATCTAGTAGACTGACTGCAAGACTATTTCACTATTTTTCCTTACAGTTTTAAAGCTACAGTACCCACCACCTGCAAGGACACAATTTAAACAGGTAAGTATTTGTCCACATAAAAGCGATTCTAGAGAACTGACACTCAAAAGAGGTGCTGGGCTAAGACCATAATGTTTTCACTGGGCTCTTAAAGCATTTAGGCTTACATTTTTTGGCTTAATCCCCACATCCTGGATCTTAGGGGCATGTTGCCACTGAAACATAGAGGAAAATCAATCCTTTGAAGAATTTTTTGGCTTTCATTTCTTTGGTGGTGGTATCTTCTGGTTTCTCCACTATATAACCATACAATTTACATTCTTTAACTCTTCCTGCTTTTTTCTTCCAAAGTTGTCACAGAATTGACTGCAGACCCTAGATATGACATGTGTTGGTTTCATGAACAAGATATGTAAACCTCCTAGTTCCAGTTTAAAATACCTTCCCAAAACAGCATGATTCCAAAGTCTCATGGAAGTTTCCTAGCACTATACTTAATCCTGTCTATTCCATTCTGATTCTTGTGACTTTGCTTTTCTTCTTCAGCACACCAGGCTTACTAGTTTTGATTAGGCTTTCTTGGTTTTCTTAAAACCAAGCACATCATGTGGGAAAGCACATCGAAGTCTCCCTCCCAGGAACCTCTCTGAACAATTCACCAAACAAGAAAATCTAATTAAATTACCATTTTCAGAAAGCATCTTTCCTTCAGTATTTTGGAAATATATCAGAGTGAATACAATACATACATTATTCTTACCAGCTTTTATCTTCTGACTCACGTATCCCACTGCCCAGTCTATCCCCTAGAAATGCTATTTTGTAACAAGTATCAAACATTGCCTCAATACTTCTTTACAGGCATTCAGTTTGCTGAAAGTATACTTCATAGCAAACTTGTGCTTAACGCCAGCTGCCTTAATCTACATTTGCAGTGAAGTTGAGCATAGCTGAGCCAGTGCTGACACCTATTGTCTGGCACCTCCCAATTGGTAATAGAAAAGTATTAGAAAAATGACACTTTTCTCTGAGAAAACTTCATCTCTGTTGCTCTATATCTATATGCAAATTTACACAAGTACTACCCTCACGTAGCAAGCATCAATCTCAAAATTAGTGTACACAAGCTTAGTACTCGTAAATAGTTTTGTAATATTTTAAATAACAGTTATTACTCATAACCACAGGTAACATGTTACGGCAATCTTAAAGCAACTAGCCATTACAGCATTAACACCAAAATCAAACACACTTAGTTCCTTAATCTGTGTTTTCCATAATGCACAATATTTTTAGGTTTAAAGAACACTTGTAATCATGTCATCTCTTTTTTAATGAATCCCATGCACAAGTTTTTACCTAGCCTTGGTGATAACCTTTTAGCTAAACTATCCCTTCCTGCTAAATTACTAAGCAGCATCTTATGTTATTCCATTATAATGTTTATTTCTGACCCATCAACCTACTACATATGTAATTTAAAAATAAAGATAAATACATCCATGACAGTGACCTGCATATGTAGATTATCCAGTAATATAAAACTTCAGACCTTATACCAACAGTGTCACCTATCACACAACACCAAATTCATAGTGTATTGCTATACCTATTTCACAGGCAGAGAACCAAGACACCTAGAACAGGAATTTTTCCAAGTCCTCTAAATATCTCTGGAGCATGAGAGTTTATGTTATTTGAGTCTCTTAGCCATTTTTAGAAATCCCACCCCAAACAGAACAGAGGATTACCAGAAATGACAGAGAAGAAAGTGAGGAGGAAAAAAAAACCCCAAAACCAAACCAACTCTCAGTAAACTTCTATAACATAAGAACACCTCTGTTAGCATAGAACTCCCTTAAGTAAGCTAAAATTAAAAACTTTGTCAATCAAACACGAATTGGTTATGAGACAAAGCATTCTGACTTACCTTAGCAGGTTTTCCATTTTAGAAGTCATCCCTTTGCCCATTCATAACTCAGAGATGAGTATGTTTTAGAAGTTCAAAATTCCCTGCAGTCTCAGTCAGGGAGCAAAAGCAGTAGATACTAGTAAAGAATAAAAATAAAATAAAATTTTTTAAAAAGCAGCTGGCTTTCCTTGTTCTGACTGGTTAATCCTGCAGACCTGGCTCTTGCAATCATAATGATAATCTGTTCTGCAAATGATCATACATGTAGCTCAATAAATACAGAGAAATTTACAGAAAAAACATTCCTGCCTAAGGAGTGTACCACTAGAATTAGGTAAGTGCATGAAAGTACAACAACAAACCAATGCTAGAGGTAATAAAATAAAAGGTGTAAACCAAACAAAGATGATAAGGTTTGTGGTTTTGTTCTCATGTTCCTCTTGCGGGAAACGGGAGGGAAGAAAGTACAGGCAGCTCTGAAGAATATTCTGTGGAGGGATTTCTGAGGAGAAGCTTGGTAAAGCAGATGGTAAAGAAAAAAAAAGTCCCAAGTCTTTAATGCAGTACCCCATCTACTGAGCTCCCAGTGTTTTCACATTAACTCTGCGTGCCTGCTGCCCCTCTCGTAGCTGGACTACTTCTACAAATTTGTGAAGTAACTGCTGTTGCTAAAACGCTTGGACAGGATCTTTCAGCTGAATTCCAGCTCAAATGGAAACAACTTGTTTGCTTTAGATCTGGAGATCCCTCTTCAGTTGGCACAGATATCCTTTCGGGGAGCATGCACTGGCCCTCTTTTCAGGGATCTCAAGAAGCCTTCACCTGTCAAAATCAGGGTCAGCTACAAGGGCATACCAGGTCAGTTAGAGCTTTACATACTCTATCTTACTCAGAGCATAAACTATTGGTGGTTTGTTGCTTTGTGGTGAGTGTTCTCTGCACAAGTTAAAAAAAAAAAAAAATCAATCACACAGTACTGATTACAGACTGTGAATGTGAAGGCAGAGTGTTGCCTGAGGATGTCTGTTGTTCTCCTTGGCATACCTATTGACCTCTACTGAAGACAGGCTCCAAAATAAGTGGACTTCTTATCTGACTGGATAGGGACATTCATACTTTATTGGTAATGTCTCCCAAATGATCTCAAATAAATTGAACCTTTTCAGGATCCTAACACAGGCAGTAAACTTATTACTTTGCAATAACAAAAAAAATTCTATAAAAATGCCATATGACTATGAAAGAAAGCATTGCTTATGTTTTCAAAGGCATTTCTCAGAGTAAAAAAAAAAATAATCACAAGTTTCATACATTTTCTTATGAGGTGTCTAAATTTCTTTCTGGTTACAGACACAGGTTTGAAAAAGATTATGGACACAAAGCAAATATAAATTGGGTCTCCTCACTGAGGTTTGTAAGTGGATAAGAGCTCGTTATTCATGAATCACTAATCATTCAGTGTCCAGCTTATAATTGTATGAATATTGTCTACTTGTATGGATTCATTTCATGAATTATGATCTCTTCACCTGGATTTGAAGATGGGTGGAGTTTAATTATAGTTCTTTTCCTAGTCCTGTCACCTGGCTTCCTCTGACAGCAAGAAGAAACGAACAAAGTTAGTTAATTCTGCCTTCTGTTGAGAAGTACTGGCTGTCACTAGTCTTCAGAGCAATTAGCAAAGCAAGACTTTTGTTTCAATTCATTTGCAGTTTTTCTTTCATTATCTAGTTTCAGTGGCCCAAACAAAAGGTGTTTCAGATATCTGACCTGAAAAGCAACTTCTTTTCAAGCAGACTTTTTAATATGTGTTCCTGGCCTTCAGCAGCAGCTAACTTGACACCTATCAGTTGTTGTCCTGTCCATTCATTAGTGGCTAGCCCAGCCCTAACCCATGACATTTTTTTTACTTGCTTCCAAGGTATCATGAGAGAGAAACTTCAGACACCTGTCTTGATAGTCTATCTCAATAAAATCAGTAAGGTATTTTAATCTTTATTCTTGGCTTTTGTTTCTCCTCATCTGCTGACATTCTAGAATTATCTTTTGTATTTAGCCATTATAACTGCCCCAGGATGCACCAGAAGGAAGCAGAGTCCCTTTGCAGAGACTGGCTGCTGTGTTTATCACAGGTGGAAGCATTGTCTCCAGTGAAGGTTTCAAGGAGGAAAGGGAAGGGGGGCAGCTGCAACAACAATGTAGAGCTCTTCAGTCTTCTGAACAGCCGCTTTCTGGCATCAAATACCACCACAATATACCAAGATCCCTGAGCAGGCAAGTAGGAGCTTCTGGGCCGGTCTAAATATGTAGAAGCTAGCTCCCATACCTAGCTTACATAGCACATGACTAATTTTCCACTGCTTTTCTTCGCAGTAGACAGTCCCTACACAAAGGTCTGCCTTGCATGTTTTCTTCTGCCCCTGTGAAGGTAGGGCAATGAAGCTGGTGAGGGGTCTAGAAAACATGTCTTATGAGGAGCACCTGAGGGAACTGGGATTGTTTAGCCTAGTGAAGAGAAGGCTGAGAGGAGACCTTCTTGCTCTCTACAACTACCTGAAAGGAGGTTGTAGTGAGGTGGTTGTTGGTCTCTTCTCCCAAGTAACTAATGACAAGACAAGAGGTAACGGCCTCAAGTTGCACCGGGGGAGATTTAGATTTGATGTTAGGAAGAATTTCCCTACTGAAAGAACAG